AAATAAGACAAATCTGTAATAATGTGGATTTTAATCAGAGAAGTGAAGCTGTTTGAATCAAAGACTGGACACGTAGAAGTTTACTGATTGTCTTATTGCAAATGTATTGATCAGATATCGGCTGTTCCTCCTGCAGACCTGTGCTCCCTCTGCTGTCACACTACAGACACTGAAATAAAACCTCTGGACAACAACAACAACACGACTGCCTCAATCATTTTACACTTTACTCTGTTTGCATGCTGGCATTTGCTAATTACAGTAAACACCAGTGGCGGCCGTGCATTCTACACCTAGACCTTCAGTGTCATCCTGCCAGAATCAAACCACCTGTTAACACCGGCATTGTGACGCCACGGTTATAGAAACCATCAAAACTATGCAGAAAGGCAGCAGAACAGGACGTTGCATCGTAGACATGTATTTCATGTAGCGAGAATGAACGCCATCACTGAAGCAAGAATCCCAGTTAAAACAATTCAACAAGTCTCCTCTTGCTGCAGCCACAGCTGCAGCGTACACATCACATCTAACAGGAGCATCAATAACAGCCCAATGAAATGAGAAAAATATTTTACTCCCCTAAACTTGTGATTATTTGAAGACAAACTCCAGCCTCCTTACTCTCCTCCCCAAGAGTTCAGTCACTCTGTTGAGCAGGTAATCCTGTAAGTCCTGTTCTATCACCATGGAGGCTGATGCTGACAGTTGGTCTATTCAGTTACTTAATGCTTTTACAATAAAGTTTTAGCTTGTGCAGGTCGCTACAGACAGGAATAACTAGCTTTGGCTAAGCTCTCTGATCATCCAATCAGAGGACGTGAAAGTGATGATGTCATCGTACACCTGCTAGCTGGTCCTGGGACCACCAACACTAAACCTGATTGGTTAAAGCAACAGTTTCACTACAATGCATTTTAAGTTACAGGTGGCTACACTTTTGATTCTGAAGGCCTCAGGGCAGATTTCTGTGACCCCGGCAACACATGATGGCTGAAATATGATTGGATAAAAGCTCTAATATAAACAGACACTGCTGGAAGCGCCACAGCCCAGAGACACACTATGAAATGAAGAGAATAGACTGTTGAGGATAAACTTAAAAGATTAATGGAAAATATGACAACATAAGTCAGTGATTCTGACAGAGTTCAGGCCAGCAGAGAAGGCCTTGGTGGACCTAACAGCACACCACTGATAAACACAACAAAAGTGTTAATGCACCTAAAGCTGTTTGTTAACTCACAAAACACCAGAAAAAGAACACACTAAATTCATTCAATGAGACAACAAAACCACAGAGACAAAAAATGACCAGAAAATGTCAAGCAACCACAAAAGAGATGCAGAAAATGAAGACACAAACACACATTACAACCAAAAGACACACGAAACAAAGAGGCTGTGCAGCCTGCTGTCTGTGTGTGTCCTTAATTGGGTTTGTGAGTCTCTGAGCTGAACAGGTTTATAGTTTCCACATCTGATATTTAAGCTGAAACTGAAGCTCAAAGTCTGGACCATCAAAGAGAACAGCAGCAGTGAGGCTGAACGAAACCACTTTTCTGGTTATTTCAGTTTGTGTGTTTCTGTGCAGGAAACAGGGTCAGTAATTTAAGAATCACAGTTGAGGGACGAACAGGGTTAAAGCTTTCAGGGGGTGTGCGCTTTAATTTCAGCTGATAGGGTCCCTGTTCTCCCCCCCAGGACTGGACCTGCATCCCCCCCTGGGAGGACGGTTTCCATCCCTGATTAGGAGAAGGTTTATATTTAGGGTCAAATTTGGGGGAAGGGTGAAGGTTGTGGCTTCAGATGAAGCTCTGGTACAGTAGCAGGAGTTAGCATGAGTCTGATTTCAGTTATATAACAGGTGGAGGATGAGACCTTATATAATCCATCACACCTGCTCCACTTACAGAGCTGGAAAACACCGAGTCACAGGAAAAATATCCTGCAGTCAACAGTTTACTCAGGCTAAACCAGCAGCAGCATCAAAGCACGAGCTTCCCTGTCAGGGTTATATTAACAGTCTGTTAGATTGGCTTAAAAACACATAAACTAATGCTAAGCTAGTAACTTTGGAGCCAGTAACACTTGCGTAGTTTAGGCTTCTGTAAAATCCTTATTCTTTAATCAAATAGATTACGTTAGATAAAGTTAGTTGAGTGAAATAGCTTAGCTTATGTTAGCTTTAGCCTCAGTCTGTTAGCATGATATCATGACCTAGTAACCATTAGCTTCAGGCTCAGTCTGTTAGCATGTTATCATAAACTGTAATGTGTTCATTTTCACTTGCCTGTTAACATGATATCATGAGCTGGAACATGCCAGCTTTAGCCTCAATGTGGTAACTTTAGCTTCTTTCTTAGCACAATGTCATGGCCTGGGAACTGCTACCTCTAATCTTGGTCCGTTAGCTTGAGCCTCAGTCTGTTATCTGTAACCTGTCAGCTGTAGCCTCAATGTGGTAGCTTGAGCCTCTCTGTTAGCATGGTATCATGAGCTTTAGCCTCAGTCTCTTAGCTTTTGTTTGATAATATGATGTCATGATTGGGAACCTTTTAGCTTTAGTATCAGTCTGTCAGCTTGATATTATGAGGTGGAATCTGTTAGCTTGAGCCTTAGTCGGTTAGCTGAACATAATGATTTAGGACCTGGTGTTGTTAGCCTCATTGTTAGCATGTTATCACAACCTTAACCTGTTAACTTTAACTTCAGTCTGTTTGTTTTAGCCTCAGTGTATTCTCTTTAGCCTGTCTGTTGGCTTGAACCTCAGTCTGTTAGCATGATACCATGAGCTGGAACCTGATAGCTTTAGTCTCAATCTGTCAGTGGTATCCTCCCTGTTGGTATGATATACTGAGGTGGGAGCTATTAGCTTTAGCCTCAGTTCATTAGCTTTAATGTGTATCTGTTAGCATGATGTTTACACATACAGCTATAAAATGTATCTAAACTATCCTTTAACAGGTTTCTTGATTTAAAACAGACATCTGGAAACATTTAAATTAAAGTGGAGACAGTTTAATGTAGGTTTAATTTGAGTTTTGATCCAACTGTAAGTGCTAATGTTAGCTTATTTTGCTAACTTTGTGTGCGTTTTGTACCATAAAGCCGACCTGCTGGCAGGACTATAGATATAAAAGTTAAGTGAAATTGTAAAGTTGAACTTTTACTAACGATTTAGAAACAAACAGAACATTATTTATCATATTTTGTAAATCATATGTGTGTGAATGTGATCTGTGACCTGAGTCATGTTCCTGATGCAGCAGATAACTGATATGACAGAGTGAAGCAGCAGATGAATGAGTGAGTGTTGGACTCAGTTCAGTCTAAGTTTAACCTGCAGCAGCGCTGACGAGGTCCAACACGCTGCTCTATATGTTTAACATGTGGAGGTTCATAGACATGTATTTATTCCATCCTGCTGTGTTCAGGGTATTACAGGTGAAGCTCTGCTCAGTTTGAACTTATTCACCTGCTGCTTGTGACTACAACTCCCAGAATCCCCTGCTGAAAGAACCAACCAGCCAATCAGAGGGCAGATATCGCTCAATCTCTGTGTAACTCATTTAATTAATTCATACATCTAAGTTTATATTTTGGATCAATTCAGTGACACTAAAGTATTTGGGATTATTCATCTCCATAGCAACAGACAGCAGAGACCCATGGGTGGTGCAGTCTTTAGACACTTTCCCTAATCTCCTAATTTTTATTTATTTATTTATTTTGCTTTATAGTGAAGTTAATTTTGTAATGTGTTTTTAAAAGAGGAGACATACTTTACTGTGTGTGTATATATATATATATATATATTTTTTTTTTTTTTTTAAAGTATATTTTTATTGTATGTATATATATGTTTAATTTTATTTAATTGCTTTTACTTTTAGGATCCTAAAGAAACGCTCTCTCATCTATTGTATGTACAGCAAAATGACAATGAACATGATTTGATTAAAAAAAAGGAGAATATTTAGATAAAATATGGACATTTTGTAAAAAAACAAAAAAAGTAAATTAAATGACAGTTTTGGAAAAAGTGAGGACATCGTTGTCTGATTGTTTTTTGTAAAAGTGAAGTTAGGACATTTCCTATAACATGTATTTTGTATTTTTTAAAAATGCAATTCTCAAAACACACTTTTTTCCCCCCCTTTTTTTTTTTTAAAAAGTGAAAACATTTTAATCAGTGTAGGTACTTCTTTGTACAGTGAAGTGAAAACATTTATTCTGAGAAAGAATATTTCTAAAATGACGTTTATTTTTGATGAATATGGAACATTTATTAAGTTTTTGGTAGAAATAAGGACATTTTGTACAAATGTATGATGTTTTGTAAAAGACATTATAAGACACTTTTGTAAAAAATATATTTTTGGTGAAGTTTATTGCATTTCTCTAAAACTGCAGACGTTGCCTATAAAAGTGTGAACATTTCTGCAGAGTGTAAACTTTGTAGTAAATGTCTTCACTCCTCTTGTCTCTTTTTTCAGGACATTTTGTAAAATTGAGGAATTTTTATTTCAGAACATTTTGTTTCAAATCTGAACATATTTTGCTACAGTCACTCTTTTTGTCTCATTGTTTCAGTTTCAGGACATTTTTGTCAAACGAGGACATTTCTGGACAAACTTAGTCGCTGACTCTGGTCCCTACAAACACACACAAACACTGCTTGTAAAGTTGTGGGTTTTTTTCAAAGTGTGGTTGTTTATTTTGCAAACGTGTGAACATTTCTGCAGAGTGGGCACATTTGTGTTAAATGTCTTCATCTGAGTCTGATTCTTATTTTTCTTGCTTTTTGACACGTTTTCATTTTAAGGACATTTGTTGTCATTGGAGGACTTTTCTGGACAAACTTTAATGCTGACTGAGGTCCTCACAAGGACCGACACACAAACACTCACACACGAACAGATCTGTCAGCAACACACATTTGGACTGAACACACACACACCTGCCACATGAACACACACATTTCTAGGCTCCGCCCCCCACAGCTCATCCTTAAATAGAGCTCCTCTCTGGAGTTTCGGCCTCGGTGATTCGCATCCAGCCGCCGGCAGCTCAACTTCACAAGCTCAAGACCCAGAACCAAGGTAGATATAACACACACACACACACACACACATGCACACACACAGACACACAAAACTCACACATCTTTGCTATTTGTTCATTTACTGGCCCAACAAATTCTTTTGACTTTAAACTTTAAAACACAAAGTTGTCTGCAGCTTTTGTGTGTCTGTGTCGTCCTGCAGCAGGTGATCGCACAAAATCTTCTTCATGTTGATTTGGTTGTGACTTTAGTTTTGAAGGATTCTGTCTCTAAAGCCTTTAAAATGAGTAAAACACCAGAATGAGTTTGTGTAGAAACTTTTGTACAACTTTTCATCCATAGAAGGACGTGCGTCGTCCTGCGTGTCGTCTACATGTGTTGTGCTCATGTGTTGTGTACTTGTGTTGTGTAGCAGCACATGTTTCCTGCAGTGACGCCTGCAAACAGCTGCAAACAGACAAACTTTAATTTATGAGCTTTTGTTCGTGCAGCAAGGATTCAGTAAGAAGAAGAGTTTTAAATGATGTTTGTTCAGTTTTCAATAAGTCGGACACACAAAATGTGCAACACAAAGTACATCAACTAAAGAAAAGAAACTGATGATGTGCAGTTTGTCCAAATGTCATTTTTCCATCAAACTTTATTTATAAAACTTTGTCACAGTTCAGTGCTTCATGATGAACCCACAGTAACGTGGCTAGAAACACAAATAATGAAAGTAAAGCGATGAAAATGAGATTAAAACTTTAAAAAAAATGAAACACAACATAAAACAATAAAATGTGAATAAAAAAACTCAATAAGAGATTTAAGTATGAAATTAAAATAATAAGACTGCTAAAAGAAAAACCTCATAAAACACTTTCAAGACACAAAATGTGAATGTAAACCAATAAAAACTTGATAAAAATGAATTTAAAACACAAAATATGGAAGTAAAATCATACAAACTAGATTTAAAGCTAATCCACGAGACAAAATATAAAAGAAAAATGTGAAAACTTACAATAAGAACTCTATCAAATTAATTATAAAGATGAAATATTAAATTATAGTGATAATAGTTACATTAAATACTTCATAAGATATATTTAAATAATAAAATATCAAAGAAAATAATGAAATGACATTACAGGTTTTAAGAAATACATTTAAAAATACCAATATAAAACATTAAAACATTGAAACAAACTAATTTAAATCACACAATATGGAATTAAAATAATAAAACATTTGATTAAAAACTCAGAAATAGAATAAAATGCAACAAAAATAATGAAGTTAGAAATATTATAGTCGTGAGCATTATGTTTATTTATTTATGATAATGTTAAACTAGTTTCTTTGTTTTATTCAGATTTTTATTTCTGCTGTTTGTGCAGAAATATTTAGTCTTTATTTCTCTTTTCTGTTTGTTCATGAAGTTAAAAAATAAAAACATGTTCAACTGTGAAGGTTTTAAAATAATTGTTTCACAAACTGGGGAATCTTTCTGAGCCGATCTCTGAACCAGATTCTTGGAAACGTTCAGAGAACACTGACGAGCGTCTTTTCTTCTTCTGCTGCTGTTATTTTAATCCTGGACGTGTTCAGCTGTCGACCTTCAGCTGCTTCAGTCTGAAAGTCAACGAAGCTCAAAAACAATCAGCTCCGAGGAAACGAACTGACCGAGAACACAGGGTTTTAAATTGTTTGATGTTAGAATCGGTTTCAGCAGGAATTTATTTTTGTACATTTTCTCCAAATTGTCTGAATAAAAAATGCAGTTTGAACCGTTTTTAGTTTTTTACCATCAACAACTTTCAGGAATAGTTTTTGTACGTTTAGTCAGTTAAGCCTCAGACAACATCACAAACAGTTAAACCTCGACGTTTCACATCCGTTTGGTAACAAAGACACAGTTTGACTTTTATTCTGCTTCGTGCACATTTTTCTCTTCTCCAGTTGAACTGATTTTCAAGAGAAATAAAACTCGACATAGATTTTTGATGTTTTTTTTTTCCAGCCACATTAAAAAGAACTAAAATTTAAATTGTTTCCCAAATTTTCAGCTTAAAATCTTCAATTTAAATTCAATTTGATCCTAAAGAGGACACGACTGAAGACTGTAATGTGTCCTTTGCTTAGGTAACCTCCACAGAACCATCCTCTGGAGAACCTGAATGTTCTCCATGAACTATTTTTTTTTGTTTGTTTGTTTACTGTTTTCATCGTTGTGCACAGTTACCATGGTGACAGGTATCCATCTGCACTGTGAACATACATCAAAACCGGCAAAAACAAACAAATAAAACAAAAAACTGTGAAAATAACTGCAAATATTTGTAAAATAATGACGCTTTTAGTTGATGTAAATACGGTTAAACAGTAATTTTACAGTCAAACGTTGTCATAGAACAAATCACCATTTGTGAAAATACAGATTTTGATTTATTTATGGGTTTTTTTGGTCTGTTTGTTTGTTTGTTTTTACAGTCAACATGTCATTTTAAGACTTTAAATTTTGCCTTTAATTTAACAAAACAGAGCAAACCTGTAAATATATATAGAACTTTTCCAGTTCTTTTCATCTATAATTCATCTGAGCTGCTTCCTTCGGCAACAGATTGGAAATTCATTTTGACCCGACTTCACTTTTTCATTTTTTAAGCAGACATTTAGCTTTGGTCTGTTTCTTCTTTCTTTTTAACTGTTATTGTTATAAATCTAGAGAACAACGGTCAAAAATTCCAGTTAAAAACACAGATTTTTGTTCCATCTTGGACACTGAGGTTCTGGCTGCAGGTTCTAGAAATCGGCAGAACTTCAGCTCATAATATTCGACTCACCTGCAGCTGCTGTCGGCGACTCGCCAGCAGATTCCAGCGACAGTAAAATTAGCAGCGAAGCTTTGTCCAAGCTGAAGCAGTGTCGGGTTCAGCAGCTGAAGAAAACGTGGAACTCAGAGCAGCTCTGGTTCGTCTGAGGAGGAGAAATTTAATATTTAATGGAAACTCACGATGGCAGATGTGACATGTGATCACACAAATATGTGACCCCAAACAGAAACAAACTGGAGCTGCACTAAAGAGATGCAAAATGATTGAAAATAGACTCAAAAAGACCCAAAAATAAAGACTAAAAAGTGACACAAAGAAATCAGAAAGACAAAAACAGGACACAAAATCATCTACGAGATTCAAAGAAAGACACAGAGAACCAAAAACAGGCTCAGAGATTTAGAAAAAGACAGAAAAGCAACCAAAAAGACATGCAGACATCAAAAATAGACAAAGAGACTGAGAAGAGACGCAAAAAGAAGCAGAAAGACACCGATAACATGCAGACAACAAGAAAAAACGGATGCATAATGACCAAAAACAGACACAAAGACACTGAAAAGAGACATAAAATAACCAAAAACAGGCTTAAAATGACCAAAACCAGAGAATGAAAGACACAGAGAACCACAAAGAGACTTGGAAAGATTGAAAAAAGATCACAAATCATCCTGAAGGGAACCAAAAAGGACTAGAAACAGATTCAAAGAGACTTTTTAAAACATATTTAATTAACGTGAAAGTTGAATCATAAAGTCACAAAAACATGTCAGAGATCAAACATCGTCTGCTGCAGTTTATCATTCAGGTTTTACCTGATTTGAACCGTGAAGTTCATTCGTCTGTTTCAGTCATTGCTCAGTACAGTGAAGCAGCCAGCAGGTGGCAGCAGTGAGTCTGTTCACCAGAGGATTGTGGGTAATGTAGGCTCCACTGAACCCCACACTGGTGACGTTCACTTACAATCAGAGACACGCTAAGTGTCCAGTTTTGTTCATTTTTTTTTGTGTCTTTGGGGCAGTTTTCTGTTTTGTGTTTCTTTTTTGTTGTTTTTTGTTAATTTTTTGCATATCGGTGTTTCTTTGCGACATTTTTGTTTCTTTGGGTACATTTTAAATACTTCACCCTCCTGCCAACATCTGCAGCCTTTACATAAAACCAACGTGAAACTTTTAGAAACAAGTGGAGGGAAACGTTGCTGTGTTTGTGTCTTTTACCTGATTAATGTTGCACAGTTCTTCCTGTTTCCACACTGACTGAGGTGTTTGTTTGTTTGTTTGTTTACCTGCAGAACCCTCAGCAGATATGGAGCGTACCTTCATTGCTGTGAAGCCCGATGGCGTCCAGAGAGGACTGTGCGGTGAGATCATCAAGCGCTTCGAGACCAGAGGCTTCAGGCTGGTCGCCGCCAAATTCCAGCAGGTAACCACGGCAACGGACAGACGATAAAACAGAAACTCAAAAACTCTTGAATCATTTTCACTAATAAACTTTTAATATTGGAATGTACAATTATGCATAAAACCGCTGATAGGAGTTCAAAAGCTTCAGGAGAATATTATTTAGGATTTATTGTTTTTTTAGTTATTAGCAGGACCGCTGTTAAAAACACATTTATTACTGACTACACATGTAATATAAATACTAAAAAGCTGTCGTCCTGATCTAAAAGGGAACCACACTGCTGGGCAGGATTCAGATTAGAGCGGATGGCAGCTGTTGAAGGCCTCAGCGTAGTTATTCAAAGCAGCTGCAGGAGTTAAATCCACCCTGACAGCTGACTTTACTGTACATTCATCACTGACATGCAGCTAAAAATACAACCTTAAACTGCGGTGTAGTTAGTTGGTCTTTAACTTTAG